TCTCTCTCACAGTATCTCCTCTTTAGTTACTCTCTCTCTCTCTCTCTTTCTTTCTTTGTGTTTTGCTTTTGTTTTTCAGATCTGGAAGTTTTGGTCACCAGTGCCAAGATCCGAGTTGAGGAGTGAAGAGACGAATCTGGTGTATGCTAGGGTTTCGCCATTTCTACTGTTGAATCTGTCAAATGTATAAGTTAGGAGTAAAGAAACGAATCTGGGTGTGTTGTTGTTGATTTTCCTCAGATCTGAAGCTGAATATATATGTTAAATTTGTTGTTAAATCTATTGTTAAATCTGTTGTTGTTGTTGTCGTCGTTGTTATTGTTAAATCTGTTGTGTTGTTGTTCATGAGTATTAAATCTGTTGTTGAATATTAAATCTATTGTTGTTAAATCTGTTATTGAATATCTGATCTGAAGCTGAAATTTTTTTTTTGGCGGGGTCGCAGAAACCCGATCCCCATTAGGGGGCAGGGACAAGTTTCTCGTCGGGGATCGGGGTCAGGGCCAGGGACATGAGAATTTCCACCATCGGAGATTGGGGACAGTGAGTGTGATCCCCAGCCAATTCCCGACTCGTTGCCATTTCTACACTTGATCAGGGGATAAGAGGTGATGTGGGACTCATCTCTGCTCCAATTAAAATTAAATGAGAAAATTACATACGAGTGGAAATTTTACAAAATATTTATGAATGGACGTTTTCTTGGGTTCCCAATATTATGTTTCCTTCATCCCATTTTATTTCCCAATATCTCAGTATCTTATTAATAAAAATGTTTATAAATTTAATTATTAATATGCATAAAATTTTCTATTGATTTGAATATTTTTAAAACGATACCCTGATGTATAATTTTCCTTTATTAAATTGTGACACCATGTTAGTGTCGCTGTTGTATTTAATATTTATTTTTATTGTATCCCATATTTGTTTTTGGATAAGGGACAACAAGTAGAATTTTTTGAAAAAAATTAGGATAAATTATCAATAGGTGTTAACAGTTGAACTTAATTATCATAAATTCTATTAAAAATAAGTCCTAATATAATCATTGCTAAAATAAATTTTTTGTGACGATTTTTTATATATGTCTTTAAAAATTGACAATTCGTGACTTTTTGTCATGATTTTTATATTTCTAAAGCATACAATTAGTGACATTTTTCTGTGATATTTTTTTAAACTGTCTCTAAAACTTATAATTAGTGACATTTTTTGTAACAATTTTCAAACTGTTGTTAAAAATTAACAATTAGTGCCGTTTTTTAATATTGTATGATGAAAAATACCATTTATTATTATAGGACCTATTGGATAATAAGTTTACTTAATAGGGCTTGCACGTAAGTCCTCAAAATAATTAATATTAAATTCAAGAAAAAATTGTTGAAAAGTCCTATCTAATGAAGGTATAAAATAGGAGTGCTCGCGGTTCGATTTTGGACGGTTCGGTTTTCGATTCGGACCCACCCGCATATGTGCGGTTTGAAAAAAATTGAACCTGCAACCGTTCGCAATGCGAATTGCGGTTTGTGCATATAGGATTTGTGGATGTGCGGGCGGTTTGCAGATTGGACTTTTTTCTTTACAAATTTATTTTTGGGCCTTTTATTTTTCCCTTGTTTTGTAAATATTTATTTTGGGCCATTTTTCTCTCATTTTCAACATTAATAATTAATGAATTAAAACTTATAAAATTAAAAACACAACAAAACCAAATCTTAAAACAAGTAAATCATTCAAAATCCTAAATTTTTAAATAAAATCATAAACTAACACAAGCACAACTTTCAAAATCCTAAACTAAATCATCAAAATCATTCACTATCCAATAATACAATTAAAGTAAAATCATTCAAAATCTTAAACTTACCTAAAAGTATTGATTAACTTTTACATTCATCCAAAATGTAATAATAAAATAACAATAAATTATTATTAAATTTCATCCAATTCAAACTCATTAAATAAAATGAAAACATTTGCAAACTCACAAACTCCATCATAAACAGTAAAAAAATAAAAAAAGAGTCTTAAGTGCGGGTAGGTTCTTAAGGGTGCAGGTAAAACCCTCAACCCGTAATAATGCTATATTTCAAACCGCATCCGTGTGCATTGTGTCTGCGAAACCGCCCATTTGTATGCGGATCGGTTCGAGTTAGACGGTTTGTGCAGTTTGGATAACCCTATACCCAGCCCTAATATAAAGCATTAGGTCCATTGAATTTTTTTGTTAGTGAGAAGTTCACCATTTGTGTACTAGTTTGATGAGAAATCCTTTTGTTGGTTTTGAATGACATTTTATTTATAATTTTATCCGTTAATTTATCTGTTAACTTTTTTTTGAATATCTGTTCAAATTTATATCAATTTGTTCAAATTTTTTAGCTATCTATTCAATTTTCCCCCTTAGCTATTCAAATATCTGATAAAATTTTATTATTTGTTCAATTTTTCCTTATCTGTTTAAATCTATCTGCAAATTTTTCTAACAAACAATCTTCAATCAGACCTTATATGTTCAAAATTTCTATATGTGAAAGTTATTTGTTCAAAATTCTTATATGTTGAAATCATTTTTGAATCTGTTCAAACAGATTTGCCCAAATTTTATTATCTATTCAAATTTTGAACGGATTCGTCCTAAACCACACAAAAATAGGGCTGGAGGGGGGAGGGGGGCGTGCCCACCCCTATGTGTACCATAGCATAGCTGATAACATTATTATTTTCGAATAACAAACTTTATAAGTTTAACATAATTACAATGACCACTTTTTTAGAAAGACTATCAAAACTAATGCAGTTGGTATGAAAACACAAGAATGAACAAAATAAAATATGAATTTTAGTTTGAAAAAGATGACAATATCATTTTTTTTGAGGTAATTACTCACGGGTCCTGTTATAAGGAATTGTTCACCATTAAATCTGATAAGTATTTGTATATATCAAAAAGTCTAACAAGTGTCAGTGATATTTTTCTGTAAGAATTTTCTAAATTTGTTACAAAAAATTAATAATTATTGACCCTTTTTTTTTTGTGACAACGTTTTAAATCTGTTCCTAAAAAATGATAATTAGTGACATTTTTTATGACGAATTTTTCATCTATTACTAAAAATTAATAGTTAGTGACACTGTTTTTTTTTTTTTAAAAAACGTTACTAAAAAATTTAAAAATATAATTTTGTGGTAACAATTTAAAGTTAATATGACTTTTTGATGCACTAAACAGTCAAAAAACTTATTGATGTTCGCATCTTTGTAATAGGACTTTTCAGTCAGTTTATTTATTTATTTATTTTTAATTCATATAATTAGGAAATTATTAAAGAAAATAGAGTTAATTACTATGTGAGTTAACCAAACGAAGTTGTATGATTGATGTACTGCAGATTTTCACAACTTTCCAAATATATTGCATTTCAATTATTATACAATATACCAGACGGGTTGAATACCCCCACAACTATATATTCTTAGTTTTTAATGAAGTTTTAATTTACCAAAAATAAAATAATAAATAAATAAAATCATATGAGAGTCTCATGTAATTATGTTAAATTTATAATATTATTTTATTTTGTTTATCATACTTGTCTTTACTAAGAAAAATAGAAGAAAAGTTAAAAAAAAAAAGGGCAAATTACATATACACCCCTCCAGGTTTGGTTAAATTACAGATACCCCTGAGGTTTCGGAAATTACATCCCGCCCCCTGAGGTTTGTATTTTCATAACAATTTACCCCCTGAGGTTTATATTTCATAACAAATTACCCCCTAATTTCTTATGCAAATATAGCATTCAGGGGGGAATTCGTAATTTCTCAAACCTCAGGGGTATCTGTAATTTTGTCAAACCTGGAGGGGTGTATATGTAATTTGCCCTAAAAAAAATGTAGTGGAGGGTGAAGCCCAACAAAGGTGGATGGAGGATTAACTTGGAAGATAAGAAGTCTATTTCACTGATGGATACATATAGACCATCCTGAGTGTGACTTAGCTGTTAATGCAACAACCTAACTAAAAATTGCAATATAATATACACTTGATTTGACTTAATACCAAAATATATTATAAATGGATTGCTCCAAATTACTATTATCATCCCATCTTTAAAAAATAAATAAATAAATAAATAAATAAAATCTTATCAATGCCGTGTTAGAATAAGAATGAATGCTAGGAGATCATAGGCACCATAAATGGTACAATAGAGCAATGTTCTGGAAATATAATTTTTATATAAAATAATGTGATTTATTGTAAAATTTTTATTTTAAAATTGAAGACTCATAGGCACTAAATTGGATGAATGATGGTCCAAATAAAATGCATTTGGGTTCAAAGAAACGTTATGTGAAAAGGTATAAAGAAAAGTGCACTTAAATTATTATGTCATGAATTTATTTTAAATGTAAATAATATAAATCACACGTTAAATATTTATGCACATTTCTATGATTATTTGTGTGAATAGTATTATTGTTAGTAAGAAAGCAATTTACATTATTTTGCAGGGTTGGGATTCTTGGTTCATTGGGAATTCTAACTGGAGATCTATTTATTTTATAAAGCCTTCAAAGCAGCTCATTCATACAAAAATCGAATAATTATAATTACATGATTGCATTACAATTGTCTTAAATTGTTTATTTATTTAAAACATGTATGTTTTGATTATTTTTTCTATTCGATATTTTTTACAAAATGAACGTTTCAAATAATTAAATTGAATCCGATGATGGACCAACAAAGTGTCCCTAGCACCCTCCTCTAATTAAAATTACCAATGGGAGGGAATCCCTTTTCATTTCTTATGTTCCATGTCAAAAAAATTATTCCTAGCTTTAAAACAGAATAGAACCACACAACTCCATTGCTATGCCCCTTGACATTCTTGGCATTTGGCCTATTGAATACTAGTCATAGCTAAGGTCGTGTATCATGTATCAATCAATAGGGCCAAGGAGGCTGCTGTGACTAGTCACAGCAAGAGAGACTTCTTTGCCCAAATAGTAAATGTACATCCACATACAATTAATTATACGATTGTGACCACAAACCTTCCTAGCATAATATACAGACAATACACAAAGAAATGCACAAAACCCAACAAATACAGACTCACAAGTTCACCATTATCATGTCCTTGGATTCTTTTCTTTTCTTTTCTCACTCTCCAAACAGAAAATTCACAAACCCTCTCTCCCTCAATCCCCTCTTCCAAGGCCATGAAGCATAGAAAACTCTTTCCTTTTTTAACAGACATTAACCAAACTCAGTGTCCAGATTTCTGTGACCAAACCTGTCCTTATGGTTGTTTCCCATATCCAACCTTCTATTTCATTCCTCCACCACCACCACCACCACCGCCGCCGCCGCCGCCGCTGCCACCACTTTCAACCGATGAAATCCAACTAGTCTCGCCATATGTGATCGTCATAGTTTCTGTTCTTGCCATCTTCTTCATTCTCGTAAGCTACTATTTAATCATCGTCAAGTACTGCACCGGTTGGAACCGGGTTAGGCCACCGCCACCAACCCCATCGGACGGCCAAGATGAAGAGTTCCTAGAAGAAAACCATGGGCCACCACCAATTGATCACCATGTCTGGCACATATCAACTATTGGCCTCCAACCATCGATCATTAACTCGATCACAATCTTTAAGTACAAGAAAGTCGATCGTTTGATCGAAGGTACAGAGTGTTCGGTCTGTTTGAATGAGTTTCAGGAAGGTGAGACTCTTAGGCTACTACCCAAGTGTAATCATGGATTTCACATTCCTTGTATTGACACTTGGTTGAGATCACACACCAATTGTCCACTCTGCCGTGCCGGTATTGTATCGCACATTACAAGTACTTCTTCTGCTTCAAATGGCCAGAGTTCTTTGAATTTGAATAGTGAAGAAGGTACCCAGATGGAGAATTTAGAGAGTGGTGGTGAATTGGCCAACAATTGGGCTAGTGATTGTGAGGTTTGTGAAAACAGGGCTGAAACAGAGGATGAAGTTGAATTACAACATATGGTTGATGAGAGAAAGTTGAATCCTAATGAAATTGGTGTTTTGGAAGATAATGATATGATTATGGAGGATGAGATACAACCGGTGAGGCGGTCTGTTTCAATGGATTCTTCTTCGGATGCAACTATCAGTCTCAATATGGCTAACCATTGTGTGGTTGAATCGGAAGGAAATTCAATTGATCAAAGAGAGGATGCACAAAAATCTGATTTGGGTCTTGTTGAAAAGCAAGATTGCACAAATTCAAGGAGTAGTTCCTCAATTGCACAATCTCTTCACAAATGCCCTGTTGCAATGAAGAGATCATTTTCATGTGGTGGTAGGTTGTTTTTATCAAGGCTTAGCCGGAACTCGAGTTCAATTCTTCCCTTGTGAATGTGATAAATAGCTCAATGCACGACACAGATACTGGAAATCAGAGTGAGGGAAAAGTTTTGTACACAGAATTCAACTACAGAATTTAAAAATAGGCGCAACATTCATGCGAGTGCTCTTCCTATTCTCCTATGGTTGAATTCCGTGTACGTAGAATTGTATATAAAATATTCTCCTATGGTTGAATTCTGTGTACGTAGAATTATATATAAAATAAGCAATGAGATGCTAAATCGTGTCCCAAAAAAATGGATAGAGCTATAAAGAGGACTTCGCTTGGGGTTGGGTTTGATGAGTATGTGCAAAATACAGTATATAAAATGCAAAATGTGGCAACAATTCGAAGGAAACAGGTATTGAAATTTTCTAAGCCAAACTGGCTTTGTAAAGTGAACAGCTTGGTTTGTGCAATGTTCTATGAGTTGCAAATTTCTTGTTGAATTTAATAGTAATAACAATAATGCGTATATGACTATATCCAAACTGTATTTTGTTTCAACTTTTAATCAAGTTTCAAGAATTCTTGATATTATGTTTGTTAGTGTTTTACATATATGATATGATCTCAAATTACCTCATTATTGTGCTTGGTGTTACTAGTTATTGTTTTATGATCCTTCTATTTCCTCCACTTTGTTTTGGTTTGTGGCATGAGCAAACAACTGTAATCCTAATTTTTCTAGATTGTACATGTTCATTATTTACTATTCCTTTTCGGATAAATTACACTAGCCATTCTTGAAGTTTAGGGGGGAAAAAAATAATTTTCTTAAATTTAGCATAATTATATTGGCTTTTCTCTTAATAAGGCTATGGGGAGACTAAAAATAATGAGGTAGTGGGCAGACATAGGAATAAACAAGGTATAACACATACATTTCAATATAAAAGAGATGACAATTCACTTTTTTATCTGTATGTCTAAAGAATTATTGACGAAAAAGGGGTAAGTGTTTTGTTAATTAAAAACTTGAAGGAGCTCAATGTCATTATGCAAAATTAGTATAATTTATCCTCTTTTTTTCCTCTCATATTTTAGCAAAATGAGAAGGAATTATAATAGACATCGAAAAGTTCTAAAAAATGAAACACAATCCAATACCATCTCCAAGATAGTGTTGCTAAAATAGTTATTAATGTTAGTAATATAGAATAGTAAGCCCTCGTTTGGGAACATGCTAATTTAGTAATTTTTTGGCTATTTGACTAAAATATGAGCTAAAGAAAACTAGTATGTTTGGGATGATTTTTTAGCTTTTTACGAAAAGATGTGCAAAAAGTATAGAGAAAAGAGAATCTTTGACTTTTTAGTATGGATTGTTAGTTTTTTGGCTAATTTGGTAACTTTTTGGCTAAAAGGGAGGGTAAGAACATCTCCAACAATATAATTATTTGAGCAATCAAAAGTACACAAATAATACAATATCTATTTTAGCTATTTTTTTATTTTTTATTTATTTATGTACTCTAGCAAGAATCTCAATTTTAGCTAATCATTATGCAAATTTAGTATAATTTATCCTCTTTTTTTTTCTTCTTCTCATATTTTAGCAAAATGGGAAGGAATTATAATAGACATCGAAAAGTTCTAAAAAATGAAACACAATCCAATACCATCTCCAAGATAGTGTTGCTAAAATAGTTATTAATGTTAGTAATATAGAATAGTAAGCCCTCGTTTGGGAACATGCTAATTTAGTAATTTTTTGGCTATTTGACTAAAATATGAGCTAAAGAAAACTAGTATGTTTGGGATGATTTTTTAGCTTTTTACGAAAAGATGTGCAAAAAGTATAGAGAAAAGAGAATCTTTGACTTTTTAGTATGGATTGTTAGTTTTTTGGCTAATTTGGTAACTTTTTGGCTAAAAGGGAGGGTAAGAACATCTCCAACAATATAATTATTTGAGCAATCAAAAGTACACAAATAATACAATATCTATTTTAGCTATTTTTTTATTTTTTATTTATTTATGTACTCTAGCAAGAATCTCAATTTTAGCTAATCATTATGCAAATTTAGTATAATTTATCCTCTTTTTTTTTCTTCTTCTCATATTTTAGCAAAATGGGAAGGAATTATAATAGACATCGAAAAGTTCTAAAAAATGAAACACAATCCAATACCATCTCCAAGATAGTGTTGCTAAAATAGTTATTAATGTTTGTAATATAGCATAGTAAGAACATCTCCAACACTAATTATTTTAGCAATCAAAAGTACACAAATAATACAATATCTATTTTAGCTATTTTTTTATTTTTTATTTATTTATGTACTCTAGCAAGAATCTCAATTTTAGCTAATCATTATGCAAATTTAGTATAATTTATCCTCTTTTTTTCCTCTCATATTTTAGCAAAATGAGAAGGAATTATAATAGACATCGAAAAGTTCTAAAAAATGAAACACAATCCAATACCATCTCCAAGATAGTGTTGCTAAAATAGTTATTAATGTTAGTAATATAGAATAGTAAGCCCTCGTTTGGGAACATGCTAATTTAGTAATTTTTTGGCTATTTGACTAAAATATGAGCTAAAGAAAACTAGTATGTTTGGGATGATTTTTTAGCTTTTTACGAAAAGATGTGCAAAAAGTATAGAGAAAAGAGAATCTTTGACTTTTTAGTATGGATTGTTAGTTTTTTGGCTAATTTGGTAACTTTTTGGCTAAAAGGGAGGGTAAGAACATCTCCAACAATATAATTATTTGAGCAATCAAAAGTACACAAATAATACAATATCTATTTTAGCTATTTTTTTATTTTTTATTTATTTATGTACTCTAGCAAGAATCTCAATTTTAGCTAATCATTTCAAGAAATATTTATTTATATGGGGGAAAGGGTGAAAAAAATGCGAGACTGTGAATTATTTATTTGGTCCATTTTCCACTAGCATCCTTCATTTCAAAGTTTCTTCCTGAACTTTGAGTGAAAGTGAATTTTGTAGTTCTTATTTGACGCCTAAAAAATTATGCCCAAAAACTTACCTAAAAATTAAGAATAAAAATGTGACAAAAAATAACAGCTGAATGCAGCCATTATCCATGAGGTCCCCTTCTTCCCAAGTTAATTTCGTCCTCAGCTTTGATTTGATTAAAAATGAATTTTATAGTCCATATTTTCACCCGAAATTTATGTGTGCCATTGTGATCTTATGATGCTGAAATGAAATGGGTACATACTTTAATATGTGTGTAAAAATAATTTTTTTGGTCTATAGTTTTGCCATACTTTGGAAAATGATTTCCATCCGTTTGTTTGGGTGAAAAATATTTTTTATAAAAAAAAATTTCTAAAAAATATTTTTCTATGTTTGGAAGTGATGGTGGTGGTGGGACGAAGGTGGAGGTGAAGGTGGAGATGGTGGCGTGGTGGCGCCGGTGATCTATCCTTGAGGGTCCGATTGGGCCCATTTACGCCATTTAGGTTTTCCATCTCTATTGGTTCAAAGTATGGATAAGGGTATTTAAGCTTAGGAATACGAGAAGAGACTCTAAGTTTCCTAAGAGTCCTTTTTAGTTCAAGGTCCAAATTCCACAATTCAGGGCGATAAGAACAACGCCCGTGCATACACTACTCACACACACACACACACACACACACACACACACACTAAGTTCTGACTTTGTGCACTAAGTTATGAAAGCAAAATACCAAAGGGAGAAATACTCATAGCGATTTAATGAAAACGCTTTACTCATCTTACGGGTGCTCGACGTGTAGACGTTATCCCAATTTCTACTTGAGCTTGCTAGTTTTAGCACTTTGGTGCTTTGCTTGCGAATATTTGCTTTTGTTTTTTAAGGACTTTGGTGCTGCGGTTTGTTTTTAAAGCTCGGTTACGCTCTGCTGCACTTCGGTGATAGCTTCACTTGCAAACACTCTGCACACCTAGCAACACAAAAATATAAAATCCTAAACTAAAAATTAAAATAGGAATGTAACTTTAAATTACTCAATTTCGCTAGAAGTTCCCGACAACGGCGCCAAAATTTGGTGGGTCGTTACATACACCAAATATAAACACTAAACTATACCAAATTGTTTTAGAATAATGGCAAGTCCAAGTATCGATCCACAAGGACAAACGAGAAATTAAACTAATTTAATTGATAATTTTTTGAATTAATTTTGATTAATTAGATTGAAAGATTTTATGACTAAACAAGAATTAAATGAAATTGAATAATTAAATTGACAATTAAAATTAGGGTTTGAGATATTAATTTTTGGAAAAAAATCCTAGGGCAAAGAATTCACCACTAACCACATAAATGAGATTTAACATCAACTATCAATTGCAATCCGATTTGAAATACCCAACATTTCACAATTACAAGTTTGAAATATTGATCAAGAGGATTGTTACATTAAATGTACAAGCACGAATCATCCCGAGTAGCACGAGGCGTTTGCTCTAAACTATGGTAGCAACACGACCTGTCTCTCATAGCATGACTCGTCTCGTACTTTAAGCACAAACACAAAAAAAACTAATATACGGAAAGCATTAAACAATCATAGAGTGTAAAATATTTGAATAAATGAAAAGAACAATTATTATAAACTTATAAATCATCCATACATTTATTCAAACCGTTCACAACCAAAGCTTAAGAAAAATCCCTTTACATGGCTAGGGTTTCATCGAAACCCTAGAAAAGAAAAGCCTAGCCGCTCATGGAGGAGTGGGAAGATGTGGAAGCCCCCATGAAAGTTCTCCTTGAAGCTTGAGGAAAAATCACCTTCTCTAAACCCTAGCCTCCTTTTTCTTAGAATAATTTTCGAACCCTAGGTTAGCCTATTTTTCTTCCTTTTATTCTCAACGGAACAAACCCAAAATTCAACGCACGCATCCCTAGGTGGGCCACTCAAGAGCCCATTTGGGCCGTTCGAGCGGTGGTAGGCCGCACGTACAGTGAAGCTTGGCCACATGTGCGGTGAGGTGGTTGGCTCGGCTTTTTCGCTTCTCGCATGGAGAATCTGCTTTTGCGCCTTTTTTGATTGAATTTGCATATTTCCTGCCAAATTTGTACAAGTGCACCAAACACATTATTTCCACCAAATAAACAAAATTGAAAGGCTAAAAATGTTATTGAAGTGCCCTCAATGTGGTACCTTTCGGCCTACATCAATGCTTAATTATTTCACTCTTCTAATATTGCACATGGATCTTCAAGCCTCATCTTCAAAGCTTATTGAATTAATAGCTTCAAAATACCTTATATATATATATATATATATTTCATAACATTGTCTCTTGAGGTATACAAACATTATGCATAAAATCTATTTTTTCTTGCTAGGAATTGAGAGTTGGCTCATGCTCAAAATGCTTCACAAATTCTTTGCTAACATTATGGTAACTGTTGCTTGAATATAAATTGTTTACTTGTGATATCATAAATTTCTAATAATGGGTGAAGTTATTGCTTCAAAACTCTTGCCCTATATTCTTGTTATCTCTCTTTTGGCTAAACTTGCATATTTCTTTATGACTTGGTTTGTAGTTTTCAAAGCAAATACCATACATTTATGAAATCATGTCATTTCTGTGCTTTTGCAATCCTT